CAGCCCGGCAGCAGGAGGGCAAGTTTGGCTGCTGCCACCATCCTCCTCACTCTGGACGTGTTGCCTGCAAGAGCTCGAGGGGTCACACCAGGTCCCCCTGGGGGCAGGGGATGCTGCCTGCCCACGTAGGGTGCAAACGCGCCTGCTATGGAGTAAATCCAACCCCTTTCAGGCAGCTGGAGGAGATGACATCCCTGGGGTCTGTGCCTTCCTCTCCCCTCCCTGGCATAGGTCACTGCCCTGGGCCTGCACCCCATGGACAGCCCAGAGTCCCCAGCCCTTGCCAGCCACAGCATGTCCTGGCACCACCAGTCCTAGCCTCAGCAGGAGGCATGTGAGCCAAGATACTCCATCTTGAGAACCCCAGCCCTGGCATCAGGCAGCAGCCACGGCACAGGCAGAGCTGAGGCAGCCACAGGGACAACATGCACAGCATCATTTTCACCCCCTGGGGCTTGCCAGACCCAAGTCCGGGAGGCAAACTGGCCACATCAGCACGAGTTCCCCTTTATCCAGGTTAATCCCTGGGCACTAGGGCTGATTTGCAGACTCAGCTCATCTTCCCCTTGCAGAAACAGCAACAAAAGCCAACACAGGGCTGCAAATTGCATTGTTGCAGCCTGCCCAACCCAGCAAGGGCAGCATCAGCTCCCCTGGGAGCTGCCAGGGCTGCAACCAGCTCCTGCTTGCCCACAAGCCACCTTGGAGCACCCAGAGACTGCAGCTGCCCTGTGAGGGTCCCTTCCTCACCTGCTGTCTGGAGATCAGGAGGAATAACGGCTTCTTGTGGGTTGCCAGGAGAGGAGCTGGCCCTTTATAGCTCAGTGCTCACCAGCATCACTGTTTGCCCAGCTCAGGTGATTCCCACCATAAAAACCCTTCTGCTGGCTCCCCTCTATACTCCCCCCCACTTTGTTGGAAAGCTGCCCAGATCTCCATTCTACATTAAACATTCTTCCAGAGAAGACAGGAAGAACCTCTCCTAGTTGGTCAATAAACCCTCTGCAATTAGTGTTAATTAATAACACAAATAGAGAGAACCTTGTGGCAGAAAGCAGCCCGGCAGGGATGCCCACTGGCACAGCCCTGGCTGCCCCAGGGGCTGGTGGGGATAAGCCCCAGGGGTGGCTGCCCCAATTCCAGCTGGAGCATCCCTGGGGTGAGCAGCCAGGCTGTGGGTACCACCCGCTGGCATTGCCCAAGGCCCCAGCTGAGGGGTGGCACCCAATGGGGGCCCCCTGCCCTACCCCACTCCCACGTGCGTCACCCACACACCGCCCTTGTTTGAACTGCCTGGGGATGTTTGTCAGCAGGATGCAGGGATAATGGGAACAGCCTGCAGCCGAGGGCAGCAGATAGAGGTGGGGGGGCCTGGCCCCATGCCCAGCTGAGATGCAGGGCTTCATCAGCTCACCTTCCTGCAGAAGGAAGGGGGGGTCCTGTAGCAGCAGCCCCCCACAGCTCCCACCCCATGTGAGGACCCTGAATCCCTGGCCCAGGCAGGCTGTTGCTGGCATGGAGCTCTGCAGCTGCAGAGGGGAGGTTGGCCCCCACCCCAGCAGCCAGAGCCCCTTTGGCATGGTTGGGTAATGCCTTCTTCATCATGGTCATCACACTCCTCACACCGGGGTGTCCTCTTGCACAGGTGGAAGGTGGCTGAAGCTCCTCTACCCTACTGTTATGACCACACTGTGCCGCAGCATTGATTTATTGGCTCCTAACACACCAAAGCGGTTTGGAAAGCTCTTCCTGCTGCCTGTCCCGTGGCCTCCTGGCAAAGCTGCCAGCTCCTGCCCAGCAACCCTGCTGCTGCCAGCCATGGCCAGTGCCCAGCTGTCCTTCCCCCAGTACTCCTGAAGACCCTTGGAAGAGGCCACTAGGAGCCACCCAGAAGGCAGCTACTCGCAGAGGATCCAGCCCTAGACCCAAGCCCCTCATGTCCCAACACAGAGGGCTGGCTGAAGCTGTTAGTTGTGGCTGTCAGACTGGAGCCATGTCCTCCAGCCCCCAGAGATCTCATCCCACAGCTCCTTTGTGGCCGCATTTCCCAAAATGCACAGTAAGTGCTGCTACACCCATAGGGAGCAGCTCCCTGCCAACATGCAGAGGCAGGTCTAGCTTTTGCCCTGGGCAGGGAAGAGGATCAGACCTGTCCCCTTCACCCACACAGCCAGGATACAGCTGCTGCTGCTCCCTAAGACCTCTCAGGGCTCAGCCACCTTGCTGGGCACTCTCCGGGATCAAAGGGTAAAGCCTTTTTTTATCCAAACACAGCTGCTGCCTGCTATAATATATCTGGAAAGAACCTTACAGAGGAGATTGGCCACTCTGACTAAAGGGGAAACTCTTCAAACACAGCACCCCCTCCTCAGAAGACAGGACTCCACTCTGTTTTACAAAAAAACATGAAAATGTTACCAAGGAGCCTGATACTATTCCTTCACTCCTTGGTTACAAAAGCGATACTCCAGCTAATAACCTAAATTTTGCATGCAACACAACAAGTTTTCACAAGCCCCTTGTCATCCCAGGCAGGGGAAGAAGCTTCAAGTCTCAGCCTGAGCACCAGCAAACTCAGTGCAGCTGAGACACAGCAGAGCTCACTACACTCTGGGCACAGACGTGCAACCTGTGGGAGAACATGGATGAAAGCCTCCCAGAGGTTTGTACTTGCCAAGCTGGCTCTGCTAGAAGATAAAGGAGCTGCACTGTTTGAATATTAAACCCTTAAAATGCCCCCAGCAGCTTTACCCCTGCAAGGCATCATAATTCAGCTACCAGCTCCATCCATCTGGAAACCAGCCAGGTGAGCACTGGTGCAGCCCACGGCTTCAGTGGCACCTCCCTGCTCTGAACACAGGAACGCAGCCATTGCCAGTTTGTTTTCTAGTTGTTCAAGTCAAACTTTCAAGTCTGAAAATGGCACGGAGGAGCTGCAGCTCCCCACTGCAGAGGCTGCAGAATCACACGTCTTCAGGCACCAGCTGCCAAGCCAAGGCCAGGGATGCAGTCTCAGCTCCAGGGGCAAGGGTCCTCCTCCCTGCTGCAGGAACAGAGACCAGGAGAGCAAGCAGGACCTGAAAGGGCAAGTGAATCCATGGACCCAGTAATCACCACCTGACCCATGCTTGCCCACAACCTTTCTAAAAGCCACACACAAGCCCCAGCCCTTCTCCAGCTCCCAGGCAAGCCAGAGCTCCTTTACAAAGCACTTCAGAAAGGCCCCATCTCAGTCCCATGCCTTCCAGCACACCCAGCTACTTGGCTGCTGGTTTTACTGCCCCCTCCTCAGCTAACTGAGAGACCCAGAACCCTCCTGCTACACGCCCGAGCTGGGCTGCTTTCAGCTCCCAGGCACAACGCCCCTGGATGGATCCAGGCAGTGGAATTTGTGAACTGCTGAGCTACAGCACAGAGCACCCTTGATCCCCAAAGCCCTCTCCCAACTTGGAACCCAGAGGTCCCAACAAGCCCTGACTTGCCAGGGGTCTGAACACTGATTTATGATCCTTTCCTTTGCAATCCAGTGGCTGTGCCATGATAGCTGGGAAGACAAATGAAAACAGCAGCACACAGATGTTGGGCACATACTCTTTATTCTGGGGATAAAAATTGCTTATACATTTTTGCAGCAACTATTTTTCATAAAAGACTTTTATAAAAAATGTAAAAATAAGCAAATATTTTCCATTATTAATATAGGAAAATGCTGCTGTGTGAATGGTTACTCTACAACTTATGAGATAAAATACCACCTTAAGGAGATATTATCTTTACAAGTAGTTAAAAAAAAAAAACAAACAACAAAAGAAAGGCAGAGGGCCATCGTATTAACACACCAGGCACGAAACTGGTTTCATTCCACATGGAAAGCACTCACTTATTCTTGTAAAAGGTAACCACGTATATAAAAAGGCACTTGGTTATTTTGGGCTTAATGAGGAAAAGCCCTTTGTTTCTTTAGCATCGATGTAGCAACACTTCATTATTTGCAGTGAAACATGTACCTGGACAGACCTCCTGGAGCTCACAAGCTCCTGCCTGGAGACCTGAGTCAGTTGCAGCTAAACTTCCCAGGACACACTGTGGGGAGCACGCCAGGGAACGCCGTGTGCGTCGTGAAAAGCCATTAACTTCAGAATGAGAAACTTCAGCCCAAAATGATGGCCCCGGGAACCAGCTTCTCCTGAGGCCCTGCCTTCATGTACCATTGAGTCGGATCAAAAGAAAACGCTTTTACCCTTGATTAGAATGGAAAGAAACATTGGAGAAAATACTGTACATGGTAGGATGCTGAACGTCCTTTGGCAGCAGCCGACAGCCCCAATCTCTTTGGAATGTGTGTCTGCAGGGTTCCCCCGAAGAGGTAGGAGCAAACCATCCCAGAAACGTTCATTTTGGCTGCTGACTGGCTGAGAGCTCTTCAGGGAAGGGTCACTCTCATGGACAAGCAGAAAGAGCGGCTGTTTGTCTAAGGTCAGCGACAGCTGGCTTCCACAACTCCAAAAATATTGGGGGAGCTGCAGTACAAGTGGCACTACTGTCCCACAGAGCACGTGGGGCACCTCAGTTGGGAAGTCTCCAAGCAGGCTGAAGCCACGAGCAGAGGACAGCCCCAAACCTGTCACCCAAACTGCATTAGGAGTAGTCTTCTGAGCTGTCTGGTCTGCTGATTAAGCCCAGCTCCCGGGTTCAGGCACACTGCTGCTGCTGGAAGCCTGCTCAGGAGTCAGTGCTGCAGCCTCCCTGTTGGCAGGGGAACACAAGGCAGCCTTGTGTAAAAGCTGGAGCAAAAGAGAAACTGTTCAAAGGGCTGGATGCCATTCCTGACGCAGAAAGACAGACACTGCAAACATGTAACGACGTCCTCAACACTTTTTGATAACACCATAAAGACGAAGCATATGGTATCTGGAGGACAGGATGCACAGCCACCCCTGGATGGAGGGAGCATGTGTACTGTGCAAGAATGCTGGGAGCTGGAGTTACCAGATTTTTAAACACTCATGCTCATGCCAAGAATTTCCCAAAAGGCCTGTATCAGTTGCAGGGCATCTCTTCTGGCATGGGAGCCCGTGAAGGCAGTCAAGGACACGCCTGGCAGGACAGGGGCATGGGGAGGGTAGTGTGTCAGAACGGGCAGGCGTGTCTCAGGGAAGACATACAACATGGGAGAGATGCACCCACAGGCCACTGTGAGGGGAAGACCAGGTCAGACCAGCGTTTTCGGGGGGTGGGGGGGGACCAAACAAAAAACTAAGAGAAGACTACATGTATATACAATCCCATAATACCTGGGGGGCAGGCAGTGAGAAGGCTAAGAGGTGTTAGTGGGTCTGTACAAGACAAAGGCTCTTAAAGAGGAAAGGGTGAAGCTGCATGACAAAAGGTGTCACTTGACCTGCAGGTGTTGGGGAATTCCAGCTCCCTTGCTGAGCTCGGGCAGCCATGGGAAGGAGGGGTCTAGGAACGTGGGTGCAGCTCTGAGCTGTGTCAAGACAAGGCAACTTGAACTCGAGGAGAACTAGCAGAAGGTGCTTCAGAGAGAGGTTATATGGGTAACAAAAGAAGTAATAAAATAAGGATACAAAGCTGGTTTTGGCTAAATTTCTGGAGAAATGACCGTGAGATGCATTAAGCTGGAGAGCTGTCTCCCCAAGGAAATGGTGGAACATATTTAACAGCAGACTGGAGAATCCAGTGCAGACAGCAATCACACTCAAGGTGCACGGCAGTTGGTTAGCAGTGACCCAGCTGGTCTTCTCCATTACCAGCTTCTACAGTTCTCTGTTTAAGCATAAAAGCATACAAGCCTATAGCGACCTCAGTCCCTCCAAGAACAGCCTGGGCTCATTAAGACTCTTGGATACTAAAATGGTTCTTCATTTCCATCCTGGAAGACCTTCATGAGTTCTGGAGTCCGCTTTAATCGGGCTTCACCTCGAGCAGCCTTCAGGCGTACACCTGCATGTTGTTCCGCTGCTGATCTGTCATGTGGGTGGCCGCCGGCCCACGCTGGTTGTTACTGGGACTGGTTGCCACGTCAGACCAGTCAGAGGCAGAGTGTGGGGAGGAGCTCGACCACTGGTCTGGAGATTCAGGCGATGGTGTCAGGTACGGGTGCTCCCCTTGTAAGTGCCGGTTGTGGCTAGGAGTCCGTTCTGTGGCCGAGGAGTAGCAGCTGTGCTGCGACGGCGGCGTGGGGTACTTGCCCATCGAGCTCTGGAACTGGTGGTAGGTCGGGAGCACCGTCTGAGCCACCTGCCCGTCCTGCTGAGGGATGGTAGCCATGGAGAACGAGGCGCTGGGCAGCTGAGCTAAATCTGGTATCTGGTACATGGAGTTAAGAGGACCAGCCATGTTCTGGGCGCAGTTTGACTGGGCCTGCTGTGGCAGTGCTTGCTGGTTTATGCCACCCTTGGGAACCAGCTGGAAAGTCATGATAGGGGGCAGAGACTCCCTGGACACTCCCATGTGCTTTGTATCTCCTTGAACCAAACCGCCCTGCTGAGAAACACTGGGGTGTGAATGCATCACCTGTGGCACCATGCCAAACATCTCGTTGTACTGGGACTCGTTCACCTCCATCCGGTTCATCCACTCGGTGGAAACGTTGGCTGGCCGGAGCCTGGCGAGCCCGCTGTTAGGAGGAGTGGTTCTGTGCTGGGACAGCAGCTGGCTGACGGACGGGAGCACGGTGCTGGATCCACGTCCTAAGGGCTGCATCTCATGGAGGTTGGAGAAGGACATGGTGTGTGCAGCCTGCACAGACGGAGCAGCCAGCAGCGAGCTGGGTGACGAGTGTAACACCCCCGGCGATGGCATCACAGGAGACGATGTTGGTTCAGAAGCAAAAGCATGGGGTGATTCCAGGGAATCGACTGGTGACAGGGTCACTGAGCTCTCCGAAAACTGCCCCTTGCTCTCGCTGAGGGACTTCTTCCTTCTCCGCTTGGCATCTTTGGTGAGGTTTGTGGGCATGATGCCTTTGGCATTGGGCTTTCGTGACTTCTTGCTTAACGAAGCGTGCTTCAGGTTGAGGAAGGACCGATTGGGGCCGCAGATGACGGGGGAAAGGGCAGAGTTCAGCATGGCACCGGGGTGCCCAGCGGGGCTGTGTGCCACGTTGTACTCGTTGAGGAGCTGCACAATGTCGTGGTGCATCCGGTCCTGGGCCACATCTCGGGGCAGACGGTCCATGTGGTCCGTGATGTCTCGATTGGCAAAATGGTCCAGCAAGATTTTTGCTGCTTCGAAACTGCCTTCCCGAGCGGCAAGGAAGAGCG